AAGATCTGTTTGTAGGAGGACAGAGTAAGAATTCAAGATCAAAAGCAAATGGGGCAAGCTTTTATTATTTAATACTTGCACAGTTATTTTCCTGCAATGATTTTACTTACGATTTCAGCTTCTAGCAGAATATGGGTGTTGACAGATGTTATGCTTTTCATCTGTAGATAGGCCAATCTTTAAAAAACAAAAAGAAATCCTGCAGATAAAAAAATCCTTGCTTAAGAATATTTTTTAAAGTGATACAAGGTGAGAATCCAAAGCTATGCATATCGTATCTTAGATCTGTTTATGTATGATACATATTTTAAAAACACTTTCTTTTGTTTTTTCATTTGTTTTGATTTTCACTCTATAATTATATCCACTGTATAGGTCATACAAGTTGGCATTTCTGTTTACAAATTTTATTTGTTTAAAATGTTTTTTATGTCTCCTTTCCCTAGGAAACCAAGTTCATGATCATTTGTGGCATTACTATGCCAACATTGCGATTACCTGAACCAAAAAGCCTGACTCTTAAATTTAGTTCTTAAGAGGGGGCCCAAAATCTGAGGACACTCATTCCAACAAATATCTCTTGGAACTGTCTGTCTCTAGAACTGTACTGCTGGAATTGCCCCTGGAACTCTCTAGATGTGTGCTCTGGACCTGTGTCCTTGAGTCAGGCTACCACTTGATTCCACCACAATGGTTTTATTCAAAATGGTTTCTCTAGCATCAATTGGGGAAGTACCAGTTTGGATCTACATTTATCTTATCAGGAAGCATTTTTTTCTCAGTCCTAATGCTTTCTATGAAGGTGGCACACTTGTCTTTCAGTTCTTGGATATGTTAATTTTCAAGCATGCCCACATTTATTCTTTTTGGGTGGAGTATCAAATTGAGGTTCCTAGGAAATAAGACCAGGTATCCAGATCCCAAAACACAAGAGCACATGGTTTCACTAGGGTTAATTAAGGGTCATTAGTCCACATTATGCCATTTGATGTTATTCCCACTGTCATCATTTTACTTTTTTCCCTGTGATACCATGTTTTGAAAAATGTGTTGCTTAGAACACTAATAATATTTGATATCACTCAAGAATGTGTTCTACAACCAAATGAGTTTCAAAAATGTTACATGAACAATACAAGTAAAAGCATTGGTATGTATTAGAATAATACAATTAATGAAAAAATTTAAAGTAAAGGAATACTAAATTTTCATACTCAAGAATTTGAAAACATTTTGATTTGGGGGAATTAACCCTCTTTCCCATTCTTAGAGGTGACATTTAAAAATTTAAAATCTAGGCAAGACGTGGTGGTGCATGCCTTTAAAGCCAGCAATCGATTGAGTGGTAAAGACAGGTGAATTTCTGTGTTATTCAGGCCAGCCTGGTCTATTTAGGGAGTTCCGGGACAGATGGGTCTACAGGGAGATGTTGTCTCAAAACTCACCACCACTACCACCACCACCAACAACAACAACAACAAAAAAAAACCAGCAAAATTAACAACTATTGCATTGGATCACAGTCACCTTGCTGCTCAATCTGTCTGCTGGGATCATTCCAAGCCCATATTTTTAAGACAGTCCCACTCCCACAAGTTGTTGCTATGAGAAAGAGTGCTGTGAATCATAGGGGTGCCCATTTTTCTTCCAGGGTACAACATCACCTAGAATCACTGTCTCTCTCACTTGGATGCAAGCTGCTTGGCATAGTCACTGACCAAACAGCCCTCTATTAGACTTGCTGCTAGAACAAGTTCCTCGAGGACCTCTGCTTCATCTCTTGTTTACAAAATGGTGAAGAAAACCAGGGTGTGCCCAGCTAAGAGGTCATGATGGTAAGGCTGGAGCTGAAGCTGTTCCAAGAACAGTGCACTATCGGCTGGATTGCAAGCATTTAGTATTTGACTCCTGTGCCATCCTGCCACCGTTACAGTATATTCCAGCTGATTGTTAGTTCAATCCTTGATGCCTACCAGCACTTGTATTCTATTTGTGATACACTCTTGCACAACTGCCAATCTATGTGTTTATGTATGTGAGAAGAATACATTTTTCCTTGTCTATCAATTTATTATTACAATAAGTACAATATTTAGACCATCTGCACTAATGGCAATGGGAATTTAATGAACTTTGGTACTCTTTTTATTCTGTGTGTAATCAAGTTGTTAGAGATTGTCCAAAAAAATAGCAGATTCCTTAAAAGGGCTGAGTCCAGGAAGAAGTGATATTGTAATAAAGGAAATGTGCCCAATAAAATAGCATAAACTATAAAAATATTTTGCTAATATGTATCTGAGGAATTCACTCCATTATACCTTGTCATGTTGGAATGACAGTTTTACACATACACACACACACACATACATACACACACACACACACACACACATACATACACAAAACCCTTTGCCAGAAGATTTTTATAAAACAGTCATCAAATGCGGCTGTAGAATATGTTTCATTGTATTTTGTACAGAAATTATACAAAATGTTTTCATTTTGCCTGTCATACACTGGCCTCTACCTTCCTATGCTCCTATTCCAGTGTTGTACTGGAAATTTTGAGCAACTCTTTGATCTCTAACGAAGTCCTACTGTTTCTATTAGTCACTGGGTGAAATATGTTAATGTACTAACATTGATGTGTCTCTTCTTCCTCTTACCAATTCACATAGAGATTCTGCATTTTTTTTGCTCTTGAAATATTGCTTAGACAATAAGTAGGGGGAAATGTATACAATGCAAGAAGATGGAAAAGTTGATAACATTTAGAGGACAAGAAAATCCTGATAGAAAAAATTCTGGTTCAGGATGGCTAGGGAAAGATTTGAAAAAACAAAATATTAAGCATGGATTGAGTGAGGGAAGGAATCTTAAATATTTCTTAGAAAGCAGCAGAGAATCTCCTCATATCCACTGGAAATGTTGAGGGTAAAAGAGGATCTGCATGAGAGAAGGATTTAAAGAAGTATTGCTGTGGTTTATGAAAGAATTCTGAAACACTGCCCCAGCATCCTTGGCTATCAAGTGGGTGTCTGCATGATTGTGGTGGGCAGACACACCAGTTATGCATCTCCTTTACACAGGGTCATTCCTATTTTATGAGATTCTTCCTACTTCCCCTTTAACAGTTCATTTTGCTTAATGCCCTGTATGTTCATGTTACGGGAATGTTATCTAAGCCCTACAGAGTACTGACTTTTTGATACCATCTGTGCATACATTTTCAGATGAAATATCCTGAGTATCAAGTCAGAATAAATCCTTAATTCCAAGAATACATCTATCCTATTTTCTTGAACTAATGCATGGTCCACTGTGTACTCTTGTGTGTAGGGGGGTAGGAGAGGTAGTTACATGTGTGGATGTGAATGTGAAGGCCAGAAGTCAATGACATGTATGTTGTGAATGCATGTGTGTGCTCATGCGTTTGCAGCTATGCACACCTATGTGTGTGCATGTGGAGATCAGAAATTGACATTGGGTGTCTTACTCTATCTCTCTCCTCCATAATTATCTGAGACAGGGTCTCTTACTGAACCTGAACTGGACATCTTGGTTATACTGGCTTGACAGAAAGCTTTTAGGATCCACCCGTGCCTCTACCTGCCCCCAGTGCTAGTGCCGGAAACTCATACCACTGTATTCAGCTTTTACGTGGGTGCTGGGGTTCAAACTCATATCATCCTGCTTGTGTGGCAAGCATTTCACTAACCAAGTCATCTTCCCAGCCCCCAGAGTAGGACCTTAATGTATGGAGTAAGGCTGTAAACACAGCTGTCTCTAGTTTTAGTTATTATGTCCTATGGAAGTTTGTAAAGTGTCAGCATAAATACTAAGTCAGTTATTTTTATGATTAAAACAACTTCATTTTCTAAATATTGTTAGTATGTTTCTTGATTATTGCATCTAGCAATTATAACTATTCAGTAATTTTTTTCTGTCAGGGGTATAAGTTGTTAGATACTTGGGAAGGTTCTAGTGCTGCGTCCTACACTAAGCAAAGTCTGCTATATTTTAGGATCTCCACAACTGTGGTTGGCAGAATGGATTTCACTGTGTACCTCCTTTGCAGGATACAAGAGCTCAGTGGAAATTATATATCTAAATTTTTAAAAAAATAACAACCACCTGGAGCATAGGACCAGAGTACCTGGGTTCAAATTCTCTTTGGCCCGTTTCTCAGCTGTTTTCTTTGCACAGATCATTTTGGTTCTCTTAATCCCTTTCTTCAAACACAGATAATTGCCCCTGCTACATTGTTCTATTTTATGATGATGTAATGGAATTAAAATTCTGGAATACAAAGTAAACTTTCATTAAAAAGGTTATTAAACCCAATTATTTAATCTGAATTCATAGCTTACATATCAGTGGTTAAAAAACAATAAAGGGTCTATAAGAAAGATGTAGGTTCAGCTGCAAGGGATGCCCTTGTGACTCTGGGCTGTTAGGTACTAGAAAAGGCCATCAGGAAGGCTGTGAAATTTCACTTGTTATAAAGTCATTTTCTTGCTCTTAAATAATAGGCAGAAACTAAATGACCTTTGATGGAACTAATGCTTTGTACAGTCTGTGACTCATGAATGAAAACACAATTTGTAGACAAATCCAGACAACGTTATTTTACACTGTGCCAAATATAAAACAAAAATTTAGAAATGTCATATTTAACTAAAAACTTTTTTATTTTTCCGGTCAATTCAAGGAACACCCTCTTCTCTTAATCTTTTTGAATTAATCTCATCCATTATGCAAAGTGGGTACTTTAAGGAGCAGTAGAGAGATGGTGTTTTAATTTTTACCAATTCAATTTAAATGCAAATGTTAACCACTCACATGATGCTACTGTGTACATAATTAAGCATCATTATATACTGCATGAATCATTTAGAAGCCTCCTGAGAGCTGTTCTACTGTGTAAAACATGCATTACACTGACAAGCAGCTGAATGACGTATACTTCTGTCCTCATTAAAGCTTCTTCTGCATTACAGGTCAACCGATTATGGGACAACCTATGAGAAACTGAATGATAAAGTGGGGTTGAAGACAATTTTGAGTTATCTCTATGTGTGCCCTACCAACAAGCGTAAGGTAAGACATGGATATACAGCTTGCTACTGACTCTTGGTTGACTAACCTTTCCAGCTACCTAAAATTCCATTACAGCGAAGCTAGGATAAGAGGCGTAAAGATGAGTTGGTGGGTGTTAAGGCGGCAAAATGTCCAGCATCCCTTCATTTCCAAATTAACTATTATGAATGTAGGAAGGCAAGAGGTAGGAGTATTTCTATCATTTCAGGAAGACAGTGTCAGGGTTAATGCCCTACTGAATGGAGGCTGCTGACTGCCCTATAAACACTCTGACTAGTCAATCAGTTCCAAGACTTAGAAAAAACCTTGACAAGACAAAAGAAAGCTGACTGCTCATTTGATGTGCTTCATTACCCTTGACATGGACAGTATAGATGAACTAGAATTCCCAGGAATGCCTGCCGCTACAGCAGTCAAGTATTTCAAGAAGTTTAATTCCCAAGGTTTGTTTAGGCTGTACACCAACATCAGGATGGAGGTGTTGCACTTTAACCTCTGCGGTACATGTATCTTAGGTACAACCAGATTTTGGAATTATCATGCAAACCACCCTTATTTTATAGAAGAGAAAACTGAGGTTTATGGAAAATAAATAGTTCAGAGTCACAGGCACAATTGCAACTATATAGTTCATGTTTCCCCCCTGATAATAATAGTTTTTCTATGGCATCACTCCTCTACCCCATTTCCCCTTAAGTGGGATGATCTAAACCAGAAAGGCTCTGTTCTGAGAAAAAAAATGTTTACCCACAAATGAGAAATGTCTCAAGGGCAGAGAAATGTTATATCACATAGTTGTTTTACAAGTTTGTATCATCACATTCTGCATCCTGACATGTAAAGCCCAAATATCCCATGCGTTACATGAACTCATAGTATCCATTAGGAAACAAAGAAGTTCTGCTCATTAGTATGTCCTAAACTGTGTTCTGTTACCATGATAGCACTTCTGTCTAGGCTCACTTTTCAGAGTTGCAGTTCGATGCTGTTTAGTGAGCTGGAGTGTGTTCTGCACTTTGTCTTGCTGTCATTCTCAACTCTATCATCTCAAGAGCATTAGGTGGTCCCCAAAGGCATCATCATGGTTCCACCTCTGTTTCTCTGAATCAGGGCTCAGATGTCTTGAGAAAGCTACTCATATGTTTCCAATGTACATATAGTATTGAGCAGCATTGATACATAGATAGTTCAATATTTCCTCTGGCTCTAAACATACCAAGCTCTTCAGTAGATGTAACCTAACACATGCGCATAGACTCTGCATTTTGATGGCTCAAGAAGAGACCCAGCTGAGCTCATCTCTGAACACTTAAGTATTGTGATTTCCTTCATCTCCGCAAGCACAGCATCCTCAAACATAAAGTGGAAATACTGGTAGCACCTGCTCAGGAGGGCAGCTCTGAGGATTGTACGAAATTAGATAGTGCAAGGGCTTGGCACAGAGCACTGCAGGCTTAACCAGAGTTTTCATTTTCTTCTCCTTTCTTGTCACCCTGTTCCTCCTGCTCCATGTAATTATTGGGAATCATAGTAGTGATCATCCTCTATAAATAGGAGCGTCCAGGGGAACTTTCTGTGATGATCGGAATGTTCATCTAAGCTATCTAATACTCTAGATACTAAATATATGTGGCTGGTGAGTATTTTAAATATGGCTAATACAACTGATAAGCTGAATTTTAAATTTCATTTCAGTTTAATTAACTTAAAACTGTGTAGCTGCATTTTGCTGAGGATCACAGTATCACACAGCAGAGCTCAGAAAGAGATCCAAACTCTGTACATTCCTTACTGATCAGTTCCTGGGCCGTCATTAATTATATCTAGCCAATTTTGATCTGCTGTATACAGGCTGGAGATGAGGAGCTGAACTGAGAGGCTTTGGTTTTATAATGAGATTTAGTTGTTTCCTGGCTTTAAATTGATTCCTATCATCTCTATTGATTTTAGTTCTAGTACACATTTTAACAAATTTAATTGAACCACCAACAAACTGTACACTCAGCAATGAGGTTTGCATGGCAACATAAAGAGAAATGAGGGCCTGAGAAATGATTCAATAGACAAAGGCGATTGGTGCCAAGGACCCACATGTTGGAAGGGGAGAACAGACTTCCACAAGCTGTTCTCTGACCTCCATAAGAATGACATGGCATGTGGGCATTCTCTCACTCTCTCTCTCCCCCTTCTTCCTTTCTCTCTTTCTTTTATACTTTAGTAGTAAAAGCTATATGATTCTTAATTGAAAGATTCCTGGATTAAGATTCAGAAATCAATGTCCCTGACTTGAATCTACTTCCACCTAAATTCAGACAAATTATTTATATTTGTAAAGTATTATAGGCAAGACAGGAATGTACATCTGGAAGGGCTCTTAGAACTGTCTTGTTTCAGGAAGTTTTTATTTATTGATGCTATTTGAAAAGATTGAGATTTAATATTCAATGCTGAATATTGGATGTGACAGGACTGTTTTCTATAGCTGTGGCATATATGGTGATGGTTCCAAGACAAAAACTGATTGTAGGATCCACATTTGAGGAGTGTGACTCTGAGTTGCAGGTGAGCTATGGAGATGCAATAAAGGCTGAGCGGAAATACCAAGAGCCCTGCTATGTAATCCACTCTGCCGAGCAGGCTGCGTGGGAAACCTGCGGTGACTCCGAGGTTTTATACAGAGCATTTGGCAGTGAGCATTTAGATGAGCTGAATTTTTCTAGAAAAGGAAAATCACTGTTCATGACTGTGAAGGAACAGCTTTCTCTGGACCTGTCACTTAAGAAACACAGAGGTAGTCCTCGGCTGTTTAAATCATACTGTTTATGAGTGAGCCTACACCAAGGCATCTTTGCCTCTGCAGATAGATGAGGCCTTCAGGGTCACTCTCTGATGTGCTGGTAGATTTAAGACATATTGGAGGACAGTGAAGGTCTTCACAGTGGTGAAAAATCAATAAAGTTGACAACACTGTGTGTTTGTGTACGGTTTTTCTGTTTATGAAGAGAATTTATCAACATGAAATATGTACTCAACCAAATGGATATATTTGAACCAAGGAGACAGTATCTGTGCAACATCTTAAAATGTGAATATATTTTCTTCAGTCAATAAGGTTTATGTTAAAAAACAAGGAGGAAGAAGAAGAGGAAAACAGAGAGTTATCAGAATTCATTAATTATGTAAGAAAAAGGCACTCAAATTTACTTCCGCTTAGGATTTCTGTATACTTTAGTGAAAAGGAAATCATGTAAAGGTTTGTTAATGAGTCTTTCAAAACTTTAGAGTACTACTCAACAAGTCAGCATCTTGCATTACCAGACATTTCTTTCTGTGTTTTACATCAGTGGGGGCCATTGGAATACAATGGACACAGTCCATATACCTGTTCCCAGAAACCTGTCTGTCTTCACATTCTTACTGCTACTTTCGCTTTCAGCTGCTTGTGAGAATAAAAGTACTTCTTTCCCCACTGTACCTCAAACAAGGTTCATCATGCCCTGGCTTTGCAGTCTGCTTACTACGAGCACTCCTGAAATCAGAGACCAGAGTAAAACAGACCGTTACATTTTAAATTGATGATCCTCCATTGAATGTTTCTCTGTTAAGTTTGATATAAGGTGCAATAGCTTTCCTTAGATAGATCTGTTACAATAAAAACTGTCACTTCATCATATGTCAATACAGGAAATTTGGACTAAGAGATGCAGAGATCCTGCTGCTATTATGCTGACTCATTCTTACTTTCATGCAAAAAGGAGCATTGCACCTAGTCTCTGATATATGAGGTGGTCTCAAAAGGACAAAGCTTAGGGGATCCCTGTACCAGAGAAGAGCCATACTGGCTATCTGTCACCATGTGATTGCGTGGGAACACTTCCCCACCTCCAGTTCATGATAAATTCCAAGTCTCATTTCTGAGAGATTTCTGGACTACACACAGTTTTATGAGAAAAGATGACTTAACTCATACCTGAAAGGAACAGCTATGATACAGAGAGGGCTGGGGAGGGCGAATGCACAGGCAGCAAATGGGAAAAACTGTTGAAACCTCGTCAAGTTCATTTGTATTCTGCCTAAAAAGAAAATGTCTTTTTACTCTGTGTGTTTTATCAATGATATCTTTCCCATTGTCCCCAACCAACCCTATCTGCCCTCCCTTCAAAGGTGCGTAGCAACATCCTTTTAGGATTAAAACCTACAATACTACGCAGAAGAGAAAAGGGGAAAAATCTAGTTTAATTTTATCTTGCAGCAAACAGTTCCTTTAGATGCTATAATCTTGTGATCTCTGTACACAGTGTTCTTTGCAAAGAAAAAAAGTCCTAGACAGTGTTAGTTTTTTTTATTTTTTATTTCGCTTCTGCATCTCTACTCCTCTGTTACCACTTCTTAATTAATATTACTCCTGCTGAGAGACTCTTCTAGGTCTTTCATTCTATAAATAGGACCCTTGTTCCTCACAACGCATTGATCCTCCTCACAGGTACCTGACAGCATTAAACACTGTTTGCCTTTTCTCCAGGTGTTTAAGTTTTAATCACCATGCTGTCTTTTAAAATAAGTACTTGATGATTGACTCCCTGTGTCTTTCCCCCCTCTGAGCATGCTCAATTCCTCTTGTCATTTATTTGGATGGTCTACACTACCTGTATGTGTCACTGTGGAACAAAAACAAGGTAGGGTTGGTAAGATCTAACATCACTGAAGAAGTCATTCAGTTATGAAAGCAGACTTAAAAGAAGGGACTTTTCAAAATCTACTCATTCGCTTAATAGATAAAAAACTGAATTCCAAAGAGTTTAGTGTTTTGCTTGAGGTTATCTGCATCTGGCAAGGGAAAAGCAAAGATTCTGTGGTCTTGACGGCAAACTGCAAATAATTCTACCACACAGGAGTTTGCGGCTCTGTCTAGCCACCCCCAGAACACTCCCTTGAGTGACATAAACAACCCTGATCAGTTTTCTAGTCTTTAGCATACTGAGCACATCCCTTACAATATA